GTAAGTTCCAGTGTCCCTACTGGTCCCTGGGGATGTGTTGTGTGGGAACCTGCACAGCGCACTTATCTCTTGCAAGAATGGTATAAAGTTATAATTAGAGGCACCAGCAAATCATAAAAGAGCCAAGCCACAGGATGTATACAGTCTCAACTGGCAGGTGAAGCCATTCTTAACCATGCAGTGATGCCCCTGAGCCCACTGAGATGCAGTTTTCCAGAAGAAACCAGAAAATCTGCCCTTCACCATCTGTAGTAGTCAAGTGACACAGAGGTCGATATTTATAGAGACTGAATCAGCAATTAAACACAAAGGAAAATGATGGAAAATACACTGAAATTTGGTACAAAGAGGCAAAGAAATAGGTCAAAGTCATTTACTGATGTCAAAGATCTTGTCTCCTGGCACAATTAAGGCCTTTTAAAAGACATTTGGAAAGATAAGAGCAGCTGCTATTTCAGATGCATGTGGAAAATTATGCCAGTTGGGAGCATTCACTAACCTACTATTAGTACAATATTTTAGCAGCAAAGTAACAAAAAGGAGAAAATAAAACGAGATGTCAGAAAAAATATAAACAGGATATTTTTTATAGGGAGATAAATTTTTTCAGAAAGACATAAAAGTTAGGGAAACATTGAGTGGGCAGTACGATTTCGAGTAGTAATCTATCAGAGGATAGAAAGGCATCTTGGCTACTTGGCTAGTTAGTAGAGATAAGATGAATTAAAGCAACACACAGATGCCCTTGAACAATGCAGGGGTTACAGGTGCCAAACTCTGTGCAGTCAAAACTCCACGTGTAACTTCTGGCCTCCCCCAAACATAACTACTCATAGCCTACTGTTGAGCAGAGGCCTCACTGATAAAATCAACAGTCAATTAAGTAATACATACTGTATCCTTCCAATAAGGTAAGCTAGAGAGAAGAGAATGTTCTTAAGAAAATCATCAGGGAAAGAAGTACATTTACAGGACTGTATTGATCAAAAACAATCTGCATTATTAGTGGACCTGTGCAGTTCGAACCTGGATTATTCAAGGGTCAGCAGTGTGTAGGAAAGGCTGCAGTGGATGAGATCTTGGGGAGAGGCCATCACAACAGCAGGAAGGGAAGGCACTGGTGGGCTAGACTGCCATGTAATCTTCCAACTTTCAGGACCAAGGAGAGCTACAAACACATGGGGAGTTTAATTACAAGGCAGCAAGATCTCAGCAAAGGTTGAAATGAGCAGGCAGCAAGCACTCTTCACAATAATGACACCAGAAGGAGAAAACATAAAGAGGAAACTGGAGGCCAGGGAGGTAAATGGTACCTGGAAGGTAAGCATCATGTGATCCTGTTTAGTGCCCCCCCGAGCTAGAGTCTAGGGAGCTCAGTGCCAAGATGAGAAGGAGGTCGGGAGATGAAGAGATACACTTTTGTGCAGAGGCACTAAGTTGAGATTGGCATACTACTGGGAGCTTTCTGCAGGAGGAGGTGTCCCCCGCCAGGTCTGCATCAGCACCACCATACACAGTGGTACATCTCCAAACTATCCCTCCTCTCTCGCCAGGGGCAACCCTGTCTGGGGAAACCTGGGACTAAAGCACAGTCCAACTCCCTCTCCTCAACAGGCTGTAATAGGACTGGAGCTATGGCTGAGGCTTCTCTGAGGACAAGGATGGGTGGAATCAGGAGTCAACCGGCAGAAGGACTGGCAGGGTGGCTGAAGCAAGAGATCCAAGGAGGCAGGTGAAGACGTTAGGATTCTGCATCAAGCATCATGGACACACCAGCCATGGTCTAGCAGATGGAGAAGAAGAAAATTAAAACAAATGGGGCTGGTATAGAAAGAGATTCTAAGAACTGGGAGATTAAATATGCAAATGAACAATGGCAAGACCATGTATATAAAAACTAGACTCCACCCCACAAGCTGCAGCAGCCTGACCAAGACACCAACCTCTCACCTATAATAACCAGCCCAGGAAGCCAGCCAGCAGTAAGGCAGGCTCGTAGGAAGTCAGGCTATTTCTAGTAACAATCCAAGACACCAAACAATAACTCCTGTAACCTTGTGCTCCAAATGGCTGGGACTTGATTAATAACTACCAGCTTCCCTAATTTTTGTCCCTACTTCCAACTCAGGCCCAAGCAGATGTCTTGATTCTAGAAGCTGGCCAGCCTCCAGCTTCCCCTAGGCCAACAACCCCTACCAGGGCCCTAGCAGGGCACACCTAAAGGCTTCCCTTTTTCCACGAGAAAGCTCACCAGATCCTCTACCTGCCTTTGAGTCTCTGCCAAAACACGAGTGATGGTGGCTGACTGCTTTGCCATAGCCAGCCCTGAATAAAGTCTCGATTCTCCTGCAGTTGTCTTCATTTCCTTCCCCAGAACCAAAGACTACACTTAGAATAAAGCAGATTCAGGAGAAGTGAGGATGTGGGAGGAATAGGAAGTTGGTGTGAAGAGAGAAGGGGGTTTTACCACCGTGGAAGGGAAGGAGAGGGGAGTATTTACATATTGCTTGTTATGAGTTTCCTGCTGCTTTCTTATGGGGTATGCAATTTACCAATAAAGCTTCGTGAGACAGATTTCTTTTAATCTACCACTTTTAAGAGAAACAATTCTAAAATATCCTTCATACCCACCAGGAGGGAGTGGAGGCCAAGGCCTAGCGTCCCTTTTTTTTACCGTGCCAGGCTATGCCCAAAGTCCTCTCTGTAGCAACAAAGCCACAACTGTCTCATTATTAACTGCATTGCAGCTCCTCCTTCACTCCTGCCATGTGCTGTAAATGGGTATTGAATGAAATAATGAAACTAATTTCTTGTCCAAATTTACAGAGTTAGTAAGTGCTATAATGTAGATCTGAATCCAGATCTTTCTGATTTCAAAGTCTATGGCTGTTCACTGCATTAGGCTTACTTGGAAGTATAATGTGAAATGGACATTAGATTTATTGACTTGAGGTGGTAAAAACAGCAGGCTAGGGTCTTGGGAAGTTAATTTTAGTTAGGAAGTACAATGGCGAGAGATGGAACTGATGGTTGGGAGGTTGTTAGGCATGGACGAGAGAAGGTGGAAAATGCCAGAATTAGCAGGTGATGTTACCTCTGGATAAGGAGGGAGCAGATTATGTGAGAAAGTTCCATCATGTTAAAATGAGAACTACCGAGAACGGACGGTGGGGCCATGGGTTGTCTGGAGACTGGGACATACCAGAAGTACCTACTGAATGGCTAAGAATGCAGGAGAAACACAAACAGGGGCCAAGGCTGCAGAAGAGAGGGAGATTGGAGGGGCTGCATGTTCTAGAAAACCTGGCTCCAGGAGGTGGAACCCGGTAACCAGCCAGTGATTCCACTACCAAGGGGAAAGGCAGCCAGGAATGGTGGGTAATTGGAAGAACATGTTCCAGATTGAGGGTGAAGCAGCGTTGAGTCATTAGGATTTAATTATTGACTTAAATGGAAGCAGTCAGCAGACCCAAATTCCAGCTGTCTGAGTTTAAAGTAAAAACTGGATCAAAGTATAGCTTCTCACAAGTGAAAAGAGGAATAGTTGTAAGGCTCCCTCGTTTTTTTGTTGAAAATCACAAATACCTGGTAACGTGTGTTAAAAGGTCCTGCATATTTGGTCTCACAGAAGTTGGTATAGTTTGACCTTTATAAAGTTGCTTTCTGGGTGCTGGGGTTGGCCATGTGAAGTACCCAGCACACTTTATCACCAAGTGAGGTGAGAGGGGTCAGAGTCAATCCACGGACTAAGATGAGTCACTGGCCCCTCATCCACGGATGTTTCTATCTGTCGCATAATGGGGTTCTCAGAAGGTACTGATGCAGGAGTATTCAGGAGGAAGACGGTGACAATCTACTCTCATTCTATCACTTCAATTATAATCCCAACACAATTTTTCTCCCAAATCAAGTCTGGGAAGTAAATATATTTAGGAGCCCCTTCCCAACAAGTTAGAATAAATCTAAAATGTATGCTCATTTCTCTTTTGTATCCTTTGTTCTGTATAGAATATTGCTGTCTGGTAACTAGACTGTAATGTACCATGGGTTAAAAAAAAACAAAAACAAAAAACTTCAATTGTCTTATCCAGACACTTTTTGTGTCTTACATTCAACCCTCAAGGAAAAATATCCAAGATAAAAACTCAAGTACACATTACCAAGTTGCTGTTGATCTTAAGCCAGAAAAGAGGGGCACTTAGACTAATGCTTGCCACAGGGAAAAATTACAATTAAAATTCATTTATAACCTCTAGTTTATACTAACTATTGTAGTTGTGTGCCCTAACTTCAGCTCTGCAGTAACGTGTAATAAAAATAGACTCCTTATCTATCTCCCCACCACCTTGACACTTTCCTACACCCTCTCCATGACCTAAAATTTAAAAAGTAACAGCTTACGAACAGTTGGATGAGATTTATGGGGATAAAAACCATGCTCTGAAGGCTCTGCCGGTCAGGGATGACCCCAAAGAAATGTTATTTAAGGTAACTGAAGAGACATAATACATACATAGAGACAGATTGAGGAGATGTCTGTCTTCTTATAGGACACTCTGGTTTATTTAATCCCAAAGTTTAAGTTGGAATTTTTCCTGAGATGGGTGCTTTTTTACCTTCCATTTGACGTGACAGCTAGCATGGTGCCCTTTGTCCATTTGGGGCACTCATTTTTTCCAGGCTTATCACGAAACAAACCAAAACCTCATAGAGAGGGGTCTCCAGAAATGCAGACTGTACAAAATTTCACCTTGTCAACCATCCCTCCCTACAGAGTATGTCCAAACTGTATAGAACTGTAATTGAATGAAATCATGGTTCATGTTCATTCCCTTGGTCTAAAAAGTAAGAGCATCGGCTGGACAGACTCCTGCCTCAGCTTCAGCCCAAGGGGATGATGGATGATCACATGTGTTTCTAATTTTCTCTCCACTGTCTAGGGTTCTCTTTGGCTTTCCTGCCCACCCCCTAAAAGAGAAGTTTTGTTTGTTACCTCTTACCGACATTTATTTTGACAATTTTTTTCTGAGAGACCATCCTCATCCTCTCCCATGATGTCCACGGCAGAAAATATCAACGCGACAAGAATGGCAAAGCAGCATACCAGGGCGAAGATCACAATGCATTTCTGCTGGGACTGTCAAGAAAAAGAAGATAAAGAAAAGTGAGAAGCAGCTTTCACTTAGAAAAGTCGGGAACTGATGGCTTTTCAAAATCCTTTGGGAAACAATTACTTCCATCACTGACAGCGGAGGGCTGCCCTCCAAGTGAAATCTTGATGTTCATTCCCGAACACAGCCTTCAAGTCCCACTAAGTATCTTAGAACAGCTAAAGAATTCAAGTGCTGTATCGAGACTTCTGAACAAGTTCTCTCTTCCCCTTTCTGATCAAAAGCAGTCCAGGAGATCCGGAGACCTTCTACAAGATCTTCTACAGAGAGCACTACAAGGTCCATTAGCGCAAATTAAAAATGAAACACAGGGTGGTTCGATAATTACTCCCCGTCTCCTGTTACTACCAGCACCTTCCAAACTCTGTGCAAAGTGCCCTCAAACCTTGTATCCCCTTGCGTTCCCAACCTCCTCTTGCTCTAAGACCTTTATTATGATGGCTTCAGGACAGATGCCCCTGGCAGGCCAGGATGAGTTCTGCAGCTTGATCAGAAATGAGATCTATCAGATGCCAGCCTTTGCGTCATTTAACTGACATAGTTCATTTCAAAATACTGAACGCAATCATAACCAACATTCACACTCTTGATACAATTTTCACTTAGAAGCAGAAGCTGAAGGTCCAGCCACTCAGGTCCTTATCTTTGGGCCAAGTGTTGTATTCTGAGACATCCCTGTCTCCAGGGGTTCATGGCCATAGGTGGCAGAAGACAGGGCCTCGGTCACTGGTCAGCAGCCATGGCCACCAGAACAAATAATTTTGCCTGGGTTCTATTTATTAAATAAATCTGGACGGGGAAGAGAAAGAACAATTTTTAAGTGTTCCCAAAGCTTTTAGGGATTATGTACAGGAGGGGAAAGAGTGATCGCTGGCCAGACAGCCAGGAATAACCCGGTTAGTGATGAGATACATATATGTGTGCAAACACGCACACACAACTTCAGAGCTCTGTTGAAACCAGCTGGCTTTGCCTCTCCTTCCATCTCCCTGACATTTATCCCTGGGGCCACACGGTCTCCAAAGAACCAAGACGCCTCCCCCCAAGCTCAGGGTCCAGAGTGTCCAGGGACAGCCTCTAATTACAGATTCTAGAGGAAAGGTGTTGTTAAGGATGCAGATGCTTCTGTGACCAGGTGCTATCAGCTCAGATGGTTGTTTCCTTAAGGAGTCTTTGTGTTCTGCTTTCCCTCAGGTCTCCCCTTCCAAGAGAAGCTTGTTCCAAACCCCTTCCTGCCTGTCACTGTGTGCTACTCTTACTCCCTGCTGAGGGAGGAAAGTGAGGGAAACCCCAAGGGAGACACAACCATTGTTCTTTCCCTCTAGGTTACCCTGATATCTTTAAGACAGGGATATGTTTTATTCTTTCCATCCCAAGCAACCAGCACAGGGCTCAGCAAATGGAAGGTGCCCAAGAAATAATTACCACATAAACAAAGTGAATGGATGAAATGAAAGTTACAAGGGCATACATCTGAAGATGCAGAACCAATTAGTTTGGTTCCATATTTTGATGATGTGAATCTGGCAACCTATCCTTTTCCACTCTCTGCTTGGGTTGGATGCAAAGAGCTGGGCTGCATTTACTGACTATATAAAAGTCTGCAGGGGCACCTGGGTGGCTCAGTTGGTCAAGCATCTGACTCTTGATTTCGGCTCGGGTCATGATCTCACAGTGGTGAGACTGAGCCCAATGTCGGGCTCCTCAACCAACACAGACACCCCAATTTTATTTATTTTAATGATATTTATTAGTTGTATAACCAGAAAATGTTTGCTGTTAACTATTAATTATTTTCAAAATATCATATAAAAAATAAATAAATCACACCCAGTCCCACTCAGACAAAATCGCCATTATCATTTTGGTCTTCTTCTTTCCTGTGTACTATATATACCAATCTACCAATCTGAAAATACTGGTCTTTTCTACATATAGTTTTGCATTCTGCTCTTTGCACTTGATCATGCTTGAACATCATTAAATATTCTTTTAAAGTATGGTTTTAAACTGCTGCATAACACGCATTGCATGAATAGGTCATTGTCCCCTTTACTCCAAGAAATGTTTTTTTTTTTTCTTTTTCCTTTCTTTTTTTTTTT